TGTATGAGTATATTGAAGTGAAGAATGAATAGAATGTGTTAAGGGAAAAAGGCTCACCCCCTTTATATAGAGGTGAGATACCTGCCCTAATAGTTGCCTGGATAAGGTGAGTTGGCTGCCCAAGCTGCCCGTCCGTACTCTGACACGCCGCGCACATGTCAGAGGTGGTGCAAGGCGTTGGGAGCTGTCAGAGGTGGTTATCGCTATCACCCAATACATTGTCCACACGTGTCCCTCCTGCACATGGGGTAAATATTCTCCTGAGGTTCAGTTAGAGGCTCTTACACGCGCCTGCGATACACGCGCCCATGACTAGGTCGATTATTGGTTCCTCGAAGTGATCGACCTGTTGAGGTCGAATAGGTTGCCCGATCATGTATCTAGTCGAGCGATGGGTTGCTCGATCGTCTCTCAGGTCGTGCGATGGATTGGTCGACTGTCTGAATGATCGATCCTCCCGCTTCTTGTCTTGGTTTCCTACTAGTGTGACCCTCTCGACCGGCTGAGCAGACCGGTTTAGCCTTGTGTATATAATATCCCATATCATAATATTTATTATTAATAATATATGGTATATATTTATTGTAGTATGTATTATGGAATCCTAATCCTTTAGGAGAAGGATTACATAATATATATCCTATATATTTACTTACCATGTATGTCACATGCCATAATTAGTTCTCTCTTTCTTGTAGGACAAGGAATAAGTGGCAAGGACTATGAAAGGATGAGCTTTCCATACAAGAAGAGTTCTGGACGTTCATGAGAAGATCTAAGGAGGATTTGGAAAGATTCACCACAAGATCTTTGAAGATTTGGAAGATCAGCTATTTTTGGAAAGTCATGTTCTTACCGGATTCTGGAAGGCAAGATTTCCTTTGGAAGTTCAATTCTGAAGATCTCCAAATCACATGCACGAATTCCACATCAAGGAAACTTACCTTACATGAAACATTTCGTCCAAATCATAAAGCAATCAATTGAGAAGGAAATTGACTCCTAAAATGAAAGGAAGAACTTGGAGAAGACTCCACCCTAAGGAGTTGTATATATACCCTGCTTGAAGATCGAAGATATGCTGTTGAAATAATTATCTTCCATTCAATATTCGAGCTTCAAGCCTTTTTAGTTTTATTTTGTTCATAGTTCAGTTTAAGGGTTCTTACGCATCCAAGAACTGAAGCTGTTTAGTTTGTTTTTCTTATTTCATTCAAACACTTTTGTGATCAGTATTTAGGGATTAAGTACAGTGGTTAGCTCGAGGGATTAGAGATAGAAGTCTACGGGACGTGGCCGGAGAAGTAATTGATAGGATCGTGTGTAGTTGTGGCTAGACTAGAAGGGAGTTCGAGTCGTGTAAGTCCAAACTATACAAGTGTTCAACGGTTTATCAATGAAAGAGCTCTGAGGGGAAGTGAGACGCTTCCCTGAAGAGTTTTTTTACATCTTCAGTTTATTGCTTCCGCTATTTACGCTGTTTATCCACGTTCTTACATCGTTTTGTGCACTCGAGTTAAAAATATACGTTTCACGATGTGTGTGTGTTTTTTGTGCATGTGTGTGTTATGTGTGTACGTGTGTATGTGAGGGGGGTAGGACGTGGGGTGATGTAGGCGGGTTGAGGTGGTGGGGTTGGTGTGTGTGTGTGTGTGTGAGAGGGAGAGAATGTGCAGAGGGGTGGCCTGGCAGGTTGACGTGATGTGGAATGGGGTCCACTTATTTTGATGCGGTGTAGAAAATTACTACAAAGTTCTTAATGAATATATAATTTTGATTTTTTTTTTTATTTGTTGGATCATTTGATCGAATGACTACGATGTATTCTTATTTCTTTTCTGGAGAACTATTCTCACCGGAGCGTAACCATATATATATAGGGTTGGGTTCACATGAGAATGCTTCTTAGTGAAAGAAATAAGAACACATGATGACCATTAGATCAAATAATCCAATGGATGAAAAAAAATCAATATTTTACATTCATTAAGAATATTAAAGACATTTTACACATTCCATCCCACAAACCTAATCTTATCATTGGCCCCACATCCTAATTCCACTAACTGCATCACTATTGATCTCTCTTTCTCTTTCCCTGTTGCACTCTCGCACGCGGTCATCTCTCCCACCACCGGCACCCATCTCCTGTGAATCTGGCCCGTCCGTTAGCATCATGGTGATCGGCGCGCATTACCAACACCGACTAACATCATCCCCCGTCTAGTCGTCACCTCCGATAAACCGATGGCCTTCCGTCCGCAACCTCGCCACCCGCCTGTCGCCGTTCTCGACGGTGCTGTCGCCGCCATCTAGCATGTTCTTCTCCACCACGACGGAATATCCAGACAACCAATTTCTGCCATGAAACATGAAGCCATGGTCTCCCAGTCAAAATCGGCCATTGATGCGAGAGCTCGAAATTCACGAGCACCATCTCGATGTCGGACGTTCTGGCAACAAAAACGATTTATTCGGTACCTTAAGAACTCCTCGTGGTCAGGAATTCAGAAGACGAACATATAAGGTGGTCGGACGCGAAAAGTCTCGTTCAGCTCATCCGACCATGGCAGACGTCGTGTGTTTTCCGGTGGTTCGACAACCAGAACGGCGGCTGAACATGGTGGATCCGGTCGGCTACTCTCCGGTGATCGACAAGGCGGTGACGGGAGGGTGGTCTGAAGGTTCCATAGGTTTTCTATGCTAGGGGCTTAATTTTGGAAATTAGATACATCCAAGGAATCTATATGCAATTGTTTTAGTTTTAATTTTAATTCAACCCATGGTCAAATTTGTAATTATTGAAAGTTAATAAAAAACTATTTCTCATACATATTGCAATATATATTGAATAATAAATAAAATATTAAATAAAGTAATATAAAATATCAAAATAATATAAAAACAATTTAAAATAACAAATAAATTATATGATAAAAATAATACATAAAAAATATTTTTGTTATTTAGCTTAATTCGATGTACAATTATATATATCAAAACTAATTTTCGATTACATATAATTTATATAGAAAAGTATAAACTATCGCACTTTATATAGCATGATGATCTTGCACTTTATAGATCAACAAGTTTCACCTTATAAAATAACATGTTTTAAATAACAGATCGAACTATATGTTATCGCATTTTATATTATAAAATAACAGGTTGCACCTTATAAAAATAACATGTTTTAAATAATCAATCGAACAATATAAAAAATATTATTTTTTATATTTTATCTATATATATATTATTTATTTTCATCGAACAACAATATAAACTAATAACTAAAAAATTTTACTAATACGAAACATTTGTTTTTATAAAAAAAAAAATAAAAAGTTGCACTTCGAATATGCATTAGCGTTAGCATGGTTGCATGTTAATGTCTTGAATATTACACTTCAACATTAAACTGATTGCACATTAGTGACTGTCAGATTGCACTATATCGACCGAACCCGACTAACTTTGTTTTTTGTATTCGAATTTTATGTCGGATCAATTATATGTCTTTAATAAATAAACAAATACTTTTTTTTTTAATAAACAAATACTCTTTTTTTTAATAAATATTTCTTTTTTTATAAAATTATTATTCTTACAACTAAATAAAATGTTAGATAAAAATATTAATGTGTAATTTACATAATATTACGTGCAATTTAACGATCGTTAAAGTGCAATTTACATAACACTATTGTGCAAGTATTTAAGTTTTTATAAATTATAAATTTAACTAATGCATTGAATTGTAATAAATTAAAGTTTATACACTTGCAATTGAGTCTTTTTATGTTTTCAAATTCTCAAAAAGGGCCCCAAATTGCAAAATGTAATTTCTCCTTTCTCCTATGCATTTATGCCGGCGAGTTCAGATGGAGATGTGGGCCCGTGGCGGCAACGGGATTAGTGCCGGCGAAAGAGTCCGGCGAGGCTGGCGCGGCAGGCGGAGGTGGTTCTTGCCGCCGGACACCTGCAATTTCGCTGGTGCGCGAGGTGGCGGAGCTGGCGTGGGTCGATTGCGGTGGTGACAGGTAGCGACGGCGGGGATGTTGCTGCGACTAGAAGAGGCGACGGACGACGGAGACGGATGGCGGAGGTGATGCAGTTGATGCTGCGGTAGCCAGACGGCAGACCCGCGGCGACGAACTGGCGGTATAAGGTGGATGCGTGGTGGAGGTACGTTACGGCAGCGATTGCGGTGCCGTCGACGTTTGGAACACTCGCCCTGAACTTTATACGAGTTGCCGGAATCTGCGGTGAAGGTATCGGATCTGTGTACGACTGCGAGATGAACGACCGTCTTGTTGGGCGACGTCTTCTGTCGACGGCGACGACATGACCGACGGTGGTGGGATGCGCCTTCGGTTGGGCCGCGAACAGCCGACGGGGAGAGAGGAAAGAGAGATAGAAAGCGAGAGAGGAGGGATGAGAGAGAAGAGAGAAACGGGCAGAAGATAGAGGAGAAGGGGAGAGGAGAGAGGAGGGAGGAGAGAGAAATATGTTTGAATTTAATGAGTGGATCCACTGATTTTGTTGTTTGTTGAATTTACAAGACTACCCTTCCAGTTATTGCCACTGCAAGTTTGACCCCTTAATTAAATTTTGACTTTATGATGTCCATTGATATAATTGATTTAATGGTTCATAATCATTCTTATTTATTTCACCATTTTCCATTCTCATATGATCCCTTCTATATATATATATATATATATATATATATATATATATATATATAGGAATCTACTTTAGGCTTTTAATTCTGAACTTTACATTGTTGCTTCTCAAGTTACAGATAAAAAGATACAAGATACTGATATATAATGAGAAATAAAATATACAAATATAAACATTGATAATCTATTTTAATTGCATATAAAAATTACTTATTCTATTTATGTTTCCTTATTTCATTTATTTTTAATAGTTTCGTGCATTTGCACGGGCCACGATACTAATTATACATCAATGCAATACTAATTATACATTAATGCAAAGGTCGATATTTTGATTGTAGAAGATCCATTACGAAAAATGAAATAAACTAAGCTGGACTAAACCTGAACCTTATACAAAATGCGGCCAAGTCAGATCCATGAACAGGCAAAAGACGCAGGATCCGCTAATAAGTCGTCAATACATTTACCATACAAGGTCACGTAAGGCCTTTTTTTTAACATTTTTCATATGAGAGGAGGCATCTTCTGAACATCAAGGCAGCTCTACGTTTAATGTATACGTTTCTCGGTGTATAGATCTATACCTATCTATCGATTCTAAGATTATTACAGAGATAGCCCAGTTCGGGCCTTGCATCCATCCAAGTAGAGAATCTCATCTCACTTGCTGAAGTGCTGTACAGATAGGATCTAAATGCGATCAGAAAGAAGTATCGCCTGCACACACATGCACAGAGAGAGAGAGAGAGAGAGAGAGAGAGAGAGAGAGAGAGAGAGAGAGAGAGAGAGAGAGAGAGAGA